CAATTGTTTTACAATGTTGGATGGTTACAGTAATTTATAAATTTTATTAGTCTATTCAAGTTTTGAGCCCAGGCCCAAAACTTTGAAAAAAAAAGAATGGCTCGTCGCTTTTCTTTCGCCATTTGTAATTAACACCTTGCTGATCATGAAATCTATGTAATCATTGTAGAAATCAGGAGGCTTATTAAAAATAACGTAATGCTAAAAATACAATTGTGTTTTAATATCACGCCAGACGGTCGGCGCCAGTGTGATTACAGTACAGGCGTGGTTGTTTATTCGTTTGAAGCGCACAAGAGAAGAATAATCAACCAAATAAACAGTTTTTGTTTCAGTATTATAATAATCCAATAAACTTTATTTTCATAGGATTGCGCGAACCAGACAGTCAGGCGCCCCGCTCAAGAATCCGAGAAGATGCATAAATCACGTGACTACATCGGACAAATCACGCTAGTGCAAGGCATCGCTTTGCCAGTCTTACCAAATCAGCGGTCATTACAGGGTCGACCCACGAACCAAGTTCAAGCGGCTCTTCGCAAAAACGTGCCAAAAAGACAGCGGAAGTCAGTCGGAAAACCACCAATGCATATTTTGCTACACCAAATGCTGCAGCGATCGGCCAGCTCAAAGCGAGCACCCGAGCGGAAGCGTCACTAGAACCAGATATACAAGCGGCTGTTCCCGTGGCAACCGCTGTACAGATTCATCGCATACCCAAGGAAGTCCCAGGTAGGAAATCACTTGGAGTCGTCAAGTCTGAGCCAGTTTACCAGAAGTCCGCCAATAATAGAGGCAGTAAAGTCGCTGTCGATTTTATAGAAGAGCAATCTCACAATAACAAAAGTCTTGACGATGTGCCAAAAGGTATGCTAAGACGCAAAATACGTCGTCCATCCGGGACACCGCCGATGCATATAGTACGCGGTATGCTTGAAACTAAACTTCGCATTTCAACCCCCAAACAAAAGAGCGTTTAAACTCAGACCACTAAAGAAGTGGTACCGGGACATGGGTGCGACACAGAGACAACTTTATCATTGTCATACTCTCGTGTCGGATAGCTGGAAGATTTGTTAAAAACAAATTTAATCTAGAAACCGAATAGAAACAAAGGTGTTACAGATATTGTCAAACTGCAAGAACAAATGAAAATGTACAGACAAGACACGGCGAAAAATTGCGCTGGTCACGCTCTTCCAGCCACCCTCATAATTTCAAATGGTTGAGCCCTAAACACAAAGTAGTCTGTCTTGTTTGTCGAACGGCATGGCATGTATTGATATTGCAAATTGCTAGTAAATTAAACATATTTTTGGGTGATGTTTGAATGAATATTTTCCTCGTGCGTATCACCACATCATAGGGTCATTTTTTAGCAAAAACACAGACCATGCCCCATTTCAGTTTAAAGATCTATTCCATTGCCATAACAACGTTTCAATGTCATTTGTTCTTTTGGTTTGTAAATAGAATCTTTATTGTTATCGTACCCCATATTTTAGGTTTTGATAAAAAGTACGATAAAATAATAAATTCTGAAAACATAAAAAAAAAACTAACGCTAGCAATACAGGAAAAATCAAACAAAACGCTCGTATTTCTAAACATAAAAAAACTGGTTAATATGTATTTGCTTAAGCAGCTGGTTTAAACATTTCACTCGTATATTAAAACAGTTATAAATGTGTTTCGCCACATCATACAGAATGTTTTCATCATTATTGATTGAAATATGTATTAATAACTGTTCATTACTATAATTTTGAGAGACTTTTTTACTTTACATGTGAGTGCCCCTACTTTGGTACAGTCATAAAGCTTTTTGGTAACGTATTTACTGTGTTTTTTTCTTGAAGTCTGCGAATAATGGCATAGGCCTGATATGTTAAACCAATTATATGTAAAAATAGTATATATCAGTTGAATAGTCCGAGATTGGAACTACAAATTCTTGTTTTGTGAATGATAGTCTTAGTTTCGAATGAGTTTTTCAAAATGTGCTCAACCGCTGTTTAATTTAGTACCCGTGCTCAACTGTTGAAACTTATAAAACACGCGTGGACATAGTTTCCCATGATACATCTCGTGGTGTTGTGTTGAGGGACCTACGTCACGACCCTCAGAACCATCTCCCATAATATAACAACAGTGTCTACTGTAGATGTAGATCGTAGAGAGAGTTTCGTCTGGTTTCATGTCTTCCTTAAATTGGTCGAAGAATAACACAACAACAAGGCCTTAAATGCATGAGGCAATCGCTGGCAGTGGGCCATCCTGTCGAAGGCCAACACGTAAAAATAAGTTAATCATTCCACTTTTCAAATGTCATCGGAAATGAGATGTTGTACATCAAGTGACATATTTATTCAAAGGCAAGTGCTATCGTACTGGATAGAAATTTCCTTTGTGACGTCATACACCTGTTCCGTTCTGCTATTATGACCTGATCGTTCTTCCGTTGGACTAGTGGCCATAAAATCACCTTTGATTGTTGTCGTGCTGGAGATTTATTGTTTATTGTCCTCACTCAACACTACAACGATTGTCTTTTTTTATTATTATTTTTCAAATATATTGTTAAATGAGACAACTTGAAATCGTTCATCATTAAAATGTCTTAATAACAACTTCCTCTCGTTGCAATATAATGGAGTTATTATCCCGCAGCCCGGATGTGGTATGTTGTTTGTTTGTGTGCTCTGTGTGTCCTCCAGTGAATAGCAGGGTTCACCGTTCATGATTTATATCTAGGATGAAGCAAAATGTTAAAAATTGACGTGAGCGAGCTCCGCTGATTCAAATGATTGCGACAAAAGAAGAGTGATATGTTGGCTGTGGTGGTTTGTTTATGTTGTTAATTTTCCCCTTAATGCCAGTGACCATGTTCTGCTCAGATCCTAAAAAAAGATTTTTAAAAAATAAGTTTGACTTGACATCAGCTAACGCGCTCAGAGTCAGACTTGATTTATTATCAGTATACGTAAGTTATGTTGACAACGATAACGATATAAAACTTTGTCTCTATTTACAGCGAATTCATGACATCATGGACGTACTGGCACGTACGTTAGTACGTCCATGATGACATCTATTAAGATGTATTAAACAATTCCATTAGAGACTGGTAGGCGATGTTCAGCTGTTCGCTGATGCTGATATCTTGTGAATATCGTACTTGGTGCATTTATTACAGTACACATTCTCCATGTGTTAAAAAATGCTTCAAAACAATTTATCTGCATTACAAATGGATATATACATATACTTCAGTATGTATCGTAATAACTTGGCGTCATATGCGTCACGAATGTCACACGTCCTGGCAAAATGAAAATTTCTCAATTATTGTTGTCATTGAAGTTCAAAAATACTGGTATAAGAACGGAAATCATCGATGTTACATTGCATAATTCTAATAGAAATTGCCAGCATACGAGGTTTTTGGTGCCTATTGTTGGCCTTACGATTGTCAAGAAATTTTTTTTATTTGCTTTATTTTATTTATGGCGTTGTAGTGTGGTAAATAAAATAAACGTGGACATTCATAGATGGGTACATTACAACTATATGGATAAACCCACATATATATGTAAAGGGACGTACCATTTCAGTATTTAGGGCAGACTCAGTCTATTCAACACGGTTATATCTGAAAATATTTCTCGAAAGTCTACAAAAACGTTGTGCTGCAAAAGAAAGGTATTTCGTTCAAACTGTTGGCTGTCTCGCGATTGGTATGGATCTACCGGTATCACGACAATCTCATCTATTCAGCTTCCCACATTGTGGTGATCTGTCTGTCTGTCCTTTGTCACACCATGTTTGGTAGTCAGGCCAGTCCCCGTTGCACGTGTGCGGTGATATTGGGGTATGTCTGTCGGTACGTACGTCTGTCTGTCTGTTCTTTGTCACACCATGCTTGGTAGTCAGGCCAGTCCCCGTTGCACGTGTGCGGTGATATTGGGGTATGTCTGTCGGTATGTCTGTCTGTCCTTTGTCTCAGCATGTTTGGTAGTCAGGTCAGTTTCGCTGCACGTGTGCAGTGATATTGGGGTATGTCTGTCGGTGTGTCTGCCTGTCTGTCCTTTGTCATAGCATGTTAGTAGTCAGACCAGTCTCCGCTGTACGTGTGCAAGTGATCTGCAGGTATGTCTGTCTGTTGTCACATCATGTTTGGTAGTCAAGCCAGCCCCCGTTGCGAGTGTGCGGTGATATTGGGGTGTGTCTGTCGATATGTCTGTCTGTCCGTTGTCGTAGCATGTTTGGTAGTCAAGCCAGTCCCCGTTGCACGTGTGCGGTGATATTGGGATATGTCTGTCGGTATGTCTGTCTGTCCTTTGTCTCAGCATGTTTGGTAGTCAGGCCAGTCTCCGCTGCACGTGTGCAAGTGATCTGTAGGTATGTCTGTCTGTTGTCACATCATGTTTGGTAGTCAAGCCAGTCCCCGTTGCGAGTGTGCGGTGATATTGGGGTGTGTCTGTCGATATGTCTGTCTGTCTGTCCGTTGTCGTAGCATGTTTGGTAGTCAGGCCAGTCTCCGCTGCACATGTGCAGTGATCTGACGATAAGTCTGTCTGGTCCATACATGATCCATTGCCACAACATGTTTGGTAGTCAGGCAGGTTGTCCATTTGGCCTCGATCAAAATTATGGAACAAAATAGTGCAGGCTTATTTTGTGAAAGGAGACAAAGGTTGTCTTTGGCGGTAACATATTAACATCCGGGTTATGACGAACGCATGGCGTAGTGGGCATCTTCCACGTAAACCACTGCCAATTTGCAGGGGCCACGAGTGTTTGGATGCAGTGAAAAAACACAACACTTGTAGACGGGAAATGATGTCAGTTAGACAAATAACCACTGACTTTTTTTCATTTCGGGGTTTTATAACTTGAGAAAGAGGCATCGGTTCAGTAGTCTTTATATTGTCGACATTCTCGCAATACAGTGCCACGTGATATGAGGGTCACAGAATAAATACAAATACACACATATATACACATTTAATGTTTGTTCTTTATTAAAATACTTGAAAAATATAATTATATGATATAGAAATATATAATATATACAAAAATAGATTTCTGAGTCAATCAAAGTGAACGGTCTTGTAGTCCATCCTAATTGGTCAACATTTCAGTGTGTATCACATTTTTCTCATTTCTTGCATATATATAACAAACTTGCTGTCATTATTTCGCGTCCAGCGACTGTAGTTTGCAGTAAATTACTAGGGGCGTCCACACCCCGAACTCAAAAGTAACTCATCTGGTATATGAGCAAAATTCACTGTACGCATGCGCACATTTCAAGCAATATAAACAACTACTACAATTTGGCCAGAAATTGTTGGAATATCAATTTTTAACTTATATAAATTATAACGCAATACCATTCTGGATCATAAATCGATCTCAAAATGTTGGAATGTTTGAAGTTCAATTAAAAATACTTTTTTTTTCATTTTTAAACTGCGTGGAATGTATAATAAACTGTGCAGTTACTCAATGAAACAATGCTGCATTGTGTCTTGCCGGGCGTATTCTTTACCCGACAAGTTCTTGCATTCAAGCAAGTTACATCTATGTTGCAATACAATGGAATGTAAAGTTCTTATAAGTACTTTGTTTTGTTCACATGTTATGGGAAATTGTTTTCTTTTTCCAAATAACCCAACCGAACACCTGTACTCTACTTGTCTAAAGCAGGGGAGGTCGTCATCTGCGCACGCGCAGAAATTATTGACGTCTAAGCGACGAAATCAACTCACGCTAAAATTGCAAAGACAGACGCTTTGTTTAAATAACGACACATGGCGGTCTTCCTCATGCGCAGATGACGATTGCCTTCTTCTGATTATCCACTTCAAGAGAGTTGTTCTACCTGCATGTTTGCTGTCTGTCGGTTATCTAACCGTCTGCCTGTCACTCTGTCCGACTATTGTATATGATGGAATTCAATAAGTCCTCTTTTAAAAAAAGTGAATAATATTTCAGAAAATGTGCCATTTTTGGCAAACCTGCAGATTTGATAATAAATACAATAATTTGATTAATTGACTGTAAAACATTTTCATCCCGGTTCTCATAAAAATGTCACTTTAATGCTCGTGTAGATCAGAAGTGATCCCAAGCGTACCGCTTTACATCATACCGAAGCTCCTTTGCCTCGAAGAAGATTCGCGGACTGCCCTGACATTTTCAACGTAAGACTTCCTTCTCGCGAGTCCAACCATTCTCTCACTTTTCTCCCACAATCCCTTGGCAACCACGTCGTCCCTGGCAAACGGAAGAACCCATCTTGGTGTACATCCTTTGAAGTAACTGCCTGAGTATTGTTCTAAATTTGGAGCAACGCAACAATGTACGGGAGTGTGAATACTATGTTCGACCGGTTTCATGAACAGAATTGAGACCATGGGTTCGATGGCTCGCAACCAACCGTACCAATTCCGCTTCATATCTGAGTTAATCATGCCTATGAAATAAAAAAAAGACCAAAACAGGTACGTGAGATATGATGGTGACTTCGTACAAAGTAAACAATTTTACAAAGCATGTTATATTATCTGAATGTAATTTTGGCGGCAAAATGAAGTCGCCTGCTTACCGGGATGCAATGAGAATGTCGAGACGCCGGTCCCCTTCGTTATTTTTGACAAATGGTGAGTGAATAGGACGTTGCATAGCTTTGTGTTGCTGTAGGCTTGAGTTCTGTCGGAATTGTGGTTGAGATTTTCTAAGTTGATTTTTCCAAACATGTACATGTCTGACGCGATGTTGATAACACGGCCCCCGCCGTTTTCCCTCAATTTGTCCATCAACAGGTTGGTGAGTAGAAAGTGACCAAGGTGGTTGCTGCTGAAGACGATATCGTAGCCGTCTTCTGTCAGCTCATGCTCTTTTAACAGACCTGTAACGTAATGTCGGATAATCGAATGATTAAAACACGAGAACAATGTGAAAGTTTGAATACATTGTGCATGAAAATCGACGAATCCGTTTAAAAGAACTGTTTCGTCTGCTTACCGGCGTTGTTAATTATGATATCCAGTCGATCTTCAGTGTTACAGAATTCTTGAGCAAACATTCGAACGCTCTGCAAACTGGCTAGATCGCAATGCATGCAGAGGACATCTTCATTGTCTGTGATAGCAGTAATTTCATTGGCTGCCATGGTCCCTTTATCTTTGTTACGGCACGCTAGGATCACTCTAGCGCCACGTTTTGCTAATTCCAGTGCAGTCTGTTTCCCAATTCCCGAATTACCACCTACAGAAGCGAACAAAATGAGTAAACAGATAAGTAAACTTCACGCTGATTTGAAATTGTGTTATTTTTACGTCCCATTGCCATCATTGTCGAGCTGTACAAAGGTCCGTCTGCCTTAACACGACGTTTGGCACTATTCATGGGAAATAACGGCTTTATATTAGTAGTCATTCATTCAACATCCAACATGTTCTATTCCCTGTATCGCTGTTCAAAACCATCAAAAATGTTAACCATGTTTTACTAACTCCTGTCAATAAATAAATATTACGCTCATAAATGATGAAATGATAAAATCTAATGACCAGCCCAAAGTTTATACTTAGGTGCTAGAAATGCTCGCATATTTTACTTCTCTTGTGTGTGGGTTTGATAGTCTGTATTATCTCGTAAAGATCATACGACGCGAGAACCAATTCGTAAACCGGTATTCGAATTTAGACAAAACACTGTCTCAGACTTGTTTTCAAGGGGTCCAGGCTTATTTTCTGAAGTATTGTCACGCAACCAACGGAAGTATACTGTTTTTTTGATTGGTTAAATAGGACGCTGGTCGGCTATAGAGATAAAACAGCTGGCTTGCCGCTCCACTGAAATTGTCCCCTTCGGGTAAGCAATCCTTCTGGGATAAGTGACGCACGGGAGTCACGATTGACGTCATCGAACTCATTTGTATAATAAGATGTTCACAGATGAACAGGTTTCTTTTTGTTGCCTTAGTTGTAAGTAGACACGCCCCTTTGGTGTTCTGTATTCTCAGGGATATCCTCGCTCAGTGACCACCGGAATCAATGCATCGTAATTACTCGCAGGCCAAAAGAAGATAAACTAGAAAACATCCTTTCAGAAAAAGAACCTCCAGACAAAATATTCCACCCTTTTAGAGGAAAAGAGATTGAGCATAACACGTGGCTCCAAATTGCAACCAATGAATACCATTTTGATCAGGAATACAAATTACTCAAAATATTCGAAAAATTGGAATAATTATTGTTTGCATAGTACAATCGTGTTGATTCAAACTCCAAAGTTTCTCTTTTGGATGTGCAGGTGCAAACTCATCAAATTAATCGGTGGCTTGTGGTGAGCTGCCTCGTTAAACATTGCATTCTATTCTGAAGCCAAATACCTGGGCGTTTAGAAATTGTTTCGTCTTTTCGTTACTTATCACAAAGTGCAATTTTAGGGAGCAAATTCTTAAAATGTGCATTTGATTCAAGTTGGCAAGACATAGTTTTCTATTTCCTTTTATCAATTCACGAACAGATCATTGTCTTTCAAAAAAAAGTGCTCATTGTTAAGAGAACAATTCAAGGACGTGTTGTTTATCTTGTTTAGGCTTCCAAAATATCCTTGATTGGAAATCCTTGATTATTTTATTCAGGCCCCTGGATTTTTATTGTGACGAGCATTCGCAATTTATAAGTTATCGACCCCCTTTTTAAAAGAAACAATTTGCGAAGAATCAATGCGAGTCTTGCATTGTTATATTATAAAACATCGCCAAATTTGGTGATCGCAAGGACTTTTCACTTCAAAGTGATCTTAAGTCTTGTGTGAAGTTTTAAGAAAGAAAAAAACAGCCTTGAGGACCCCATAAAACGATTGTTCTCTGCACAATTTATCCGGGCTACGCAAAAGATAAAAGAACTGAAAAACACGGCATTGTTTTGCGTCCAAGTGCCTGGTCAGTTTCTAGGACAGTGGGTTTATACGACAGGTTCAACTTGCAAGAACTCACATAATTTTTGAACCAAAATTAAATCAATCGAATGCTTTTCATTTTCAAGTATGGAGTACACGCATTCCCTGTTCTTTCTTGTAAAATGTTTCGAGCTCTGTGCTTAGGAGAAACCTTAACGTCCACCCTTGATGATGTTTGCGAATCTTCCAACAAGTTCGTTGTGGCATTAACGTTGGCAGACTACTGCCCCAATCGGTCGCACATGTACCAGAATAATGTATGAGCGCAATATAATTACAAAACCAATATTAAAAAAAAAAATACGACAGGTTCAACTTGCAAGAACTCACATAATTTTTGAACAAAAATTAATTCAATCGAATGCTTTTCATTTTCAAGTATGGAGTACACGCATTCTCTGTTCTTTCTTGTAAAATTTTGCGAGCTCTGTGCTTAGGAGAAACCTTAACGTCCACCCTTGATGATGTTTGCGAATCTTCCAACAAGTTCGTTGTGGCATTAACGTTGGCAGACTACTGCCCCAATCAGTCGCACATGTACCAGAATAATGTATGAGCGCAATATAATTACAAAACCAATATTAAAAAAAAAAATAAGAAGCAAACTTACCAGTGATGATGACTGTTTTTCCATCCAGTCTGTCTGGGCACATGCATTTATCGGAAGTTTTAGCGATGTAATAATAGATGGCGAAGCATACAGCGAATACAACCCCCATGAAGACTACGTTAAGTACCATGCTTGCGTGCTAGTTTCAGACGTCTATAAAACGTAACTATACAGTAGCTTAGATGTTTCGCAACTAACTGAGAGTGGTTTCTCCGCTCCATTTATACTCTCCCATGAGTCATCGAATGCAAATAAACCTATTCAACGAATCCACATTGACGTCAGCGGGGGCGATTCCATTGGTGAGATCTGGTTTCACTTGCCACTGGTTGCGTGACGTAATTACTAGGCTGTGCGTCCTAAATGCTGGCATATAATACATCTTCTCGGAAGTGAGTCGGGACATAACGAGGACCTCGGCTTACGTGGCGGTCGCCACGTAGACTACACGAAGGTCACGGCGACATCTTCTCTCTACGATATTGGTTTTAATGGCGCCACGTTGTGTATCTTCGCCGGCAACTTAATATCATAGCACTTCCGGCGGGCGGCCTGAATCAGGTCACTCCCTGCTGTGTAATCCGCTTCGTCATGCCAGAACTGCGGGGTCTGTTATATCGTTCTACTTACTTAATATGGATATTGCATGTGATTGTCATCCATGGTGGTCTACCTGACCGATCCTCTCATGCTGTCTGTGCGGAACACGGCGTCCGGACCTCCCGTGTCTGAATCGATACCGCTCCACCCTTTAATCGTTGAGTAACGGAAGAACAGAGCTCATTAACATAGTTGTAAAATATTAGAAATAACAACAAATCCGCAAAAGGCGAACGGAAGTTTTGAGATTCCCACACTATTTTTTTCTATTGTGACGACACAATAGCTGTTGACGACTGTCAGTACTTTTTATCATTGGCCAGAGGTCACCGTCAGTTTGAAAACCGATCCGTAGTGGCACGCGTAACCATATTCTGTCTCAAATTTAACGGCGCTGCCAAGACCTATTTTTCTATAAAACCACATTTGACGCGAAAACCCTGACTCCGTGTTCCACTACCATATTATATGACAGTCTTGCCAGTTTAGTATAAATCAGTGTAACATAATGCGTATTCGAAATACATTATTGTTTTGTTTATTTTACTGTAATTTACGTTACAGACAGAGTTACAGACAGAGTTATACCAGTTAGGACTACCTGTCTTAAAACTGTGGGCCTGGATGAGAACGGGAAACAAATCATGCAATATGTGAATACAACATTTACAGAAATTACTCCAGCCCGCACGCTTTGAAATGTATACCGCTTAGTATATAGAACAAGTACCATAATACATATTATGGTACTCTTTGCGTGCACATATTATTGCCCAAAGCAAACAACCACACAATCACATGTGATGCTGAGAACAAAATTGCGATAGAAATGTATTTCGACGCTGAAAATTCATACATTGAGACGTATGACTAACTACAGGTAGCACAGACAAGGTTGACCAGAGCATAAATAATGCGAATTTCCTCCTATCAATAAAAAGCCCACCTATGAAGTTATGAAGTAGATACCCAGGCAGACAATTGGCGGGTAAGACCCGGTAATTATACGAGTTATTATTCGTTTCTCGTTGTTGGGTGTATAAATAAGATCCGGGCGTAGGATGTTCTACACGACGCAAGAATCGCCTAGTCTACTACACTGCTTCCATAATTTCTACTCATATTTTGAACTTGAGTTTCAAATGAGTAAACATATAACAAACAACTATGTAAACCTTGCCGATCCATGAGAGTGAGCTGTGAAGGCCGAAGACTTCGCCGTTATTATTATACAATAACAAATGTTTTTCGTAACCAGGGGACTATTAGTAATACTTGGTATTTGAAATAAAATGTAATGTGACGTCACTGGTTGAGCGAAATAGATTTTATTTCACCGTCGCTACCTGGAATCGACAGCAGTAATGGATGCGTTGTTAATTATTTCCGATTTTCATTGGCAGTATTGCAATGTAGTGTAGTTTTGTCATATTGCCACTTTGCAGTATTCGTCATTATACTCATTGATATTCCAATGGTATACATCTCACAACGTGTCAAATGGGTGAAGGATATTGAAGAAATTGGCAAACAACTGCTTTGGCATTTAAATATGAAGTTGGCGCGTGTGTGCTGGTTAGTTTTAACGTCTAGGCATGAAACAAATATCTGAGTTCACTGATTTCTGATTTCTGACACAGTTACAAGGAAAGTAGGAAGAAAACTTCCCGTCTCGGAGACAGTCGAGTAGCAAGTTTAAATAAATCTACAGATCATGGAAGTGAAAACTTTCAGTTTTTCATCACGACAATTTATTATCAAAAATCATCTTTGTCATAAGAAAGAGGAGGTATGTCCGACACCGACCGCAGATTCATCGATAGCATAACCTTGGTTCCTGCCGGCCTGGCCGCTGGTGTGCAAATAATCACGCGTTCTTTCTCACGTGGCCTGGCTCAGTGTCCTTCTCTTGTGGTTTCCGACACTTTGGGGCATGCCCATTCAATTTAACTTTGACGACACAATACGTGCCGACAAAATCAACTTCCGATAAATGATATGTTCCTTTTCATAGCACGGATAATCCCAACCATACACGCATCGGTAATCTGAAGTCGGATATTAGTGTCGGGATTTCGAATGTAAATATTTACTGATCCAGACGATCTCCGGCGACTTTCCCGTACACTGTGTACTGAGATGAGCACCCCATTTCTGATGGCGTGAGAAATATCCCCTCGTTCTGAATGTCTTTCGAATTTATACGAATATCGACAAAACAAACCCATTCTCTGTATTTGTATAAATATTTCTACATTCCGATGACAACCGGCCATTCAAAGCGCACAATGAGGCCATTTGAACATATTCCAATATTAGTTTTTCGTCCAATTGGAATTATATACTATCAAAGATTAAGAAAATGAAGGAAATGAGTTTGTTGTATCGATAGTACTATGGCATATGGTAATTGTCATTTAGCGTTTTTTCGTAAACAGTTTTTCTACTAATACAAGTGGGGTTTTAAAGTTTGTCTTATAAATAATATACGTAATCATAATAATATTACATTATTAAACCCCACAAAAATAACCAAACAGAATGATCTTATATCTATGTGTGTTTTCTATACATTATTTTCGAAATGTTTTGTTAGAGACTTCCGTCAATATGATCATTCTTACGTTTACATTGGATCACTAAGTATTGTTTACTAAGCCACTTATGCCATTGTTGTGTAAACAATACAAATCATAGTGCTCTTAGTATTTGTGAGTGAAGTTTTCCGCCCAGCCGGAAACCCACCGACTAAGAATATTTTTAAAACTTCGATAAGAAAATTCCAGGCATATCAGCGACAAAAGAGTTCGTGAAACGCTTTCCTGGCTTTTCAGTATCATCCAGTATGATTTCAGTGAGTCTGATACATCCGTAATGAACTCACAATTATTTCAATACAGGTGGTGTATTTATAGAAACAAAACACAAGGAAGTACGCGGTAAAGGAATTTTAACTAATGAAAACATGCGATTGGCACGTGCGATGACGTCACATATTAAGCATTCTATGGAATCTATGATTTAAGATAATATGAAAGAAAAGCATGTCTATACATGAACTTCTCACGATAATGATGTTTTGTTTTGTAGAAAATTATCACATTCTAATATGATTACTAAGGTCTGGTCTGACCACTAGTTTGAGAAATGACATTCGTGTTACAGCTTAGTATGTGGCGTGCTTGGTTGTTTGATTTGATTTATTTGATTGATTGATTTATTTCGTGTGATATTTTGTTTTTAGAAAAGTGTGTGTCTGTCAATTATACATCTGTCAACAAGTTTATAGACTCATTAAAAATAGTCGAAGTCGTTCCGTCCATGTTTGGCATGAGTCCCATGCCACCGGTGTGACATAAATTGTTTGTTTATATAACATTCGAATTCGGACTGTGTGACGACTGTGCGGCTTTCAACAAGAATTAATTTAGCAGGTTAATATTACCAAAACTGTGTTGATAAAACTAACGATGTCATTAAATGGCAAACTTGGGCTCAATTAATACTAAATCCTCGATGGAATCTTTCACAATATTTATATAAATATACCACGAATCTACAGACCAAGTGATTATACAGACCCTGGGGTCAAGTAAGGTATGGAGGGTTATCCCCAAGATTCTGATGCTATTTCCGTTATAGACAGTATCGTACGCGTCCATGGATGTTTTTACTTGCTTCATTACAACCGTGGACAAAACAAACAATAAACACTGACTTCTTCCGGTTGGTTCCGCACACCATGCGGCAACGACCACATCAATGAGAAACAAAACTACCCACAAAGCTATTGTATTGCTGGCACGTGAAAGGTGACTTCGATAACCGTCACAGAACTGCCATTAAACTATTCGTCTTATCGTTGTAAGATAATGCAAACAAAAATTCTTAGTTTGCCTGAGTCTGTTATAAACACATTGCCTCAGATCGATTAGAATGATGTCTCGCTGACTGTATATTATCTTCGCTAAAACAGAACAAACTGTGTAAATTATTTTTCCTTTCACTCAATCTTGTGAATTATGTTTTTCGAGAATGAAATTGCTGTAATTCAGTTTGTTTTTTCTCTGGAAAGCAAATTTGATTTCAATTTTCCCATCTTCCCAACAATTACATTTTTGTTCATGATCAATCCTTTACTCAGCTGCTTTTATGGATCAACCAAGAGTATATTAACAGCTTCAAGTTCAGCAGAAAATGTACGTCTGTTCGTCGATATTTGTTTCTTCGTGGCCGAAAAAAATGTGCTACTTTCATTTGAAATTATCTGTGTATTTTCAGACACTACAAATAATTAGAAATTAAACAATATCTAAATATCTAAATGTACTTTTTAACTCACTTTTCCTGACTTAGCCCTAGTTTATATGTTTACGATCGTGCTTCCCACTGGCTTGTACTGATTTCGCAATAATTTCGGGTCTACGTGTCTCTGCGGAATGCACGGTTCTTGGCGGGATACTAGAGATAGGTGCGGCTGTCGATCGCTACGATACGATCTTCTCTGGAGGTGTGGCATTCCCAACTCAATATGGGAACTATGGGTGGGTTTTTCTTTTCAAAATACACACGCTCAGATTAG